TATTTTGTAGTACTTTCTCCATAAAAGTTATTTGCTGATGTTATTGATATTGTTTGTGTAGTTGTTCACACGTAGAACAACACGATTAACTGTCGATTACGACTTTTTTGACATGACGACAGACTATCGTGACAATGGAAAGAGCTAGAACGACAGTCGTCTGATGATAAATAAAACGTTACGATAAAAATGTGACGACAGATAATCGCAGCTTCAAATGGTTCTATCGTGCAAACGACAAGGCGGCTGCCGTAAACCGATAAATTATCGTCAATCGTGACACAACGTGTGAAAAAATTTCAATTTTTTAAAACTGAGTTATGGCTTTTTTATGATATCTCAAAAAAATATTTTGTCACTTAGCCGCGTTTTAGTTAGCGGACGGCAGAAGACACGACAGTCGTTCAATGATAAATTAAACGTCCACGACACAGTCACGACAGATAGTCGGGATATGGGAACGGGCTAGACGCGACCGTCGTCCGGTGTTAAATAAAATGTTACGACATAATCGGAACACGCCCTAAGGCTTGCTCTTTGTAAATAAACATTTGTAAACATTTATCATTTACAATATTTATTATAATATCTTAAATCGAGATAACCTCTGGAGCTAAACGAGCCATGGATTTTTATCACCCAAGTACGCAGATTTATTTTATTTATTTATTTGTAATTCTGACATCATAAATAGGACCACAATTGTGTTAGTAACGCGTTGCCAATGTTAGTACTTCATGATTAACAATGATTTCGTCCTTTGAGTGAGTTTCCACATCTTCAAAATGCTATTACTGCTGCCACACACTATCTGTACGTGTCTCAACAAACACGCTCGAGACACTACAGCAGCTTCCTGAAGGCATTGTTATATTGGATGCGCAGAGCATTGTAAACCTTCTGAGAGTATTCGACACACAGATACGACAAGTACAGAAAGCGCAGAATGCTTTAAGAGGGAGCATGCCAAAAAAGTTTTGACGTTGGCTCCGCCCAAATTTGTGAAACAAATATATGCCTGAAGTTCGCGTGACATGCGACAGGAGATGTTGAATTTTGAAAAGTACCAAATTCGTTTTAGCGGAATAACTCTAAAACTAAAGGGATTTAAAAAAATCCGTAGTGACAGTTCTCGATCATGCATAAATATAATTAATTATCAAATTTTTGTCCTAATAACCTGTAGCATTTAGAGGATGAATCGAAAAAATATGAAAATTAGAGGTCATTTCGTAATTTTTATCTATCGAGGAAACTTCATTGTTTTGTTTCTGATTGTCTCTCTCTCTCTGAGTGTCTATGCTTGAATATATCGTGTAATTACTCATACAATATTTTATTTTTAACTTTAAAGTGGATATACCCCTCTAAAATCAAATCGAAGATTAGGACTTTTTCCTCTGCTCGCTCTTATATAGTTCATATAGTTATTTATAGTTTCTAGTACACAAGCTTTTGTTGTGTCTTACTATAGTTTTAAACGACGTAAATGGCATTATTTTGATATCAACTGGAATCTCATTATAAAGGGTTGCCTAAAATTCACGCAACAAGTAATTTTGATAGAAAACACAGCTTTATAATTAAAAATTGCATTTTTTTATTGATTCTAGAAGTACATGGTATAGCGTTATGTGTGGAAAAGCATGTCGGGTAAATGGCCTCCACCGCTTTGCTGGCACACACGACCACCCACGCCTTGAAGGAGGAAATTGAGTACTGCATCAACGAGATTTAACCACAGTTATGCAAAATGGTGATCGAAAATTTCAGTGCGAATGTGCCAGCAAAGCTGTAGACGCCATTTACCCGACATACTTTGTCACACATAACCCTATACCATATACTTCATAGATCAATACAAAAAATTACAATTTTTAATTATAAACCTGTGTTTTCTATCAAAATTACTTCTTGCGTAAATTTTGGGACACCCTTTAGAAGCGTATACATTGCCCCTTAAATTAGTTTGTGACTTTCTGAAGACAACTGTCAAGAACAGCGAATGCGGCTAATTAACCGTATCTTTCTTTCTTTTTTAAAAGTGCCAGTTAACTGTGGCCTCAAAAGGCACCCAAACCACCATAAACTCGATAAGAAATTATTATCAACATTTTTATTTAAAAATGTATACACACGAAATCGCGTGAAAAGCTCACGTAATACGTAATAAAATACGTTTATCACGTAGACTAGTTATTTCGGGACGGCATAAAACTATAATTACCCTCTGAATATTGTATTATAGGAATATACAAATTTAGACTATATATATTTTTAAGTTTTCGAACTAGGGAGCGGTACGAGTCAAACCGGTATCTTGATATTATATGTAAGAAATATCGTCATCTTTTGCCACTAGAGGTGCGACGTCAGATAGCAGACCTAGTATTTTTTAAATAAAATAAAATACAGGGTAACTTTAACCTCACAGGATTAAAAAATAAACTTTTAAGTTTTTTAATGAATGAATGAAATATTCTTTATTGCACATAAAATTACAGTTAAAATACAATAAAGTAACTTAGGTATAAGATAGTAAGATAATGTGCAACAGGCGGCCTTATTGCTATGTAGCAATTTCTTCCAGGCACCGTTAGGATAGAAATGTGGGATATGCAAAAGGGGTTTGGTGCACTACAGCATAAAATCCTATGTTAGGCAGTCTACACCCAGCATAAATACGAACTTTAAGAACATGAGACATTGACTTACAAATAAAAGGACGACGGGTCTAATACACAAACCACGAAAAAATGTCCCAAGTCAACATATTTAAACGTAGTGCCATGTAAAGGAATATGAAAAAGCTAAAACGTTGAATTTAAATTGTAATGTCATCGCAGTACTGTCTAATTTTGCTTGCTTCGCTGTCAGTCGAACAAACGAAGACTAAAGCGTGAATGACGCTCTGTATACGATTTTAACACCCTATAAGTTCGGACACTTTTTAGCGCGGACCCGACGTCCATATAATTGTAAGTCAATGGCATGAGAAGTGAAAAAGGGTTTTTTGCAAGCTAGCGTGGAAAAGATTTTTGAAATTCGAACTTGACGATGGACTTTGGTGCGCCTAACTTTTTGTTTCGATGAAAAGAAAGTTTGTCGTATATTGCCTATTGATGTAATATAAATACGTTGGTATATTTTATTCTTATTATTGTTGACATTTGTAATAATAACTAATTGTGTTTATTACATTATTTTAATTCGTCGAAGAACTAAAATACTTCAATAATCACTTAATCAAGCCAAATTATAAGTACAAGCAAGAATAGAAATTGATGAAGTGCAAATTCAGAACGCATCCGAAGGTAAACTTGTTCTTTCAGATTAAAATAACTGATGTCTTATAGTTCAACTGTTTTTCTTTCATCTACTTACTTATTTCTCTCGCTATAGTGAGGTGAAAAGTTGTGTGTTTCGCTCGGTAGCGAAGTTGTTTTGCGTCACGTGACTTGAAGCCCTCGCTACGCTCAGAAATCTATTTTTCCATAGTTTCCTTCGCTTGTTCTGGTTTCAATACAACCACTCGCGTTAAACAACTTTGCAGCCTTGCATAACAAATAACTATTATTATCATCGATGGCGATGGAAAAATACGTGTTTGCTTTTTCTTTGTTTTCTCAGTCGTTCGGTAGGTTTAAACTACATCTAATTACCCCAGTCAAATATATATTTTTTGTATATAAAATATAAGTGCGCACTTGACCTCCATCTCACCTGATGGAAAGTGACGATGAGGTCGACGATGGAGCATGCACACCTACATAATTCACTCTCGCCTTGAAAAGACCCAAGTTATAACGTTCAGGGAACAAGTCTGCAGGCAAGCAATTCCACTCCATAGCCGTTCGCCATATAAATGTGGAAGCGTAACGCTTCGTGCGAATCTTTGGAATATCCACAACATAGGGGGTGGAACCCAAGCCTACGCCTAGTCCCCCGGTGACGGAAAAGGGAAGGCGGAATTAAATCGCGTAATTCCATCGCACACTCTCCGTGACATATCCTGTAAAACACCGATAACCAGACAACTTTTCGGCGGTGTTCAAGGGTTTGCGGCTTCGCCTCCACTAATTCCGAGTCACCTATAAGCCTCTTGGCACGGTTGTCAATTGAATCCAAAGTGGCCAGTTGATATGTATGTATTATTATGGTAAACAATATCTAAAGACCCGTCACTCATTTATATCCGATATCCATTTTTAATCATGATTAGTGAAAACAAGTAAAGTTACTTCCATAGTATGTTTTTTGGCATTCATCATTTTTATCTCTCTAATCCACGTAATATAGACCAACCTATATACGTTTTTAAACTTTCACATTACATTATAGTAACATTACAAATGTGGATAAACGCGATAAAAACTATTTAATAGTTTTTTTTTTATGATACCATGTGACGCGGGACGAACGAGCCGTGGGCCTGGTGGCAAGCGATACGCCTATCCTCAGGGTAGGCGCAGTGGCAGTGTCCCACAGTTCTATGCTATTTAAAGCCATAATTGGTACTGCAACTGCTATGGACAGGCGTGTCGCTTAACAACAGGCGCACGACTTATTCGTCCCGTCACTTGGTATAAAAAAAATAGTGTAGTAGCCGGGGTTTTTTCGAAAGTCACTGGTTCGATTCCAGCTGGATCGAAGGAATTTTTGTTTGTGCTTGTTGCTGATCTTTGTTTTTGTTGATAGCGACGGGACGAACAAGTCGTGCGCCTGGTAGTAAGCGACACGCCTGTCCCTAACAGTCGCAGAGCTTTAAGTCGTAAAGATCTGAGGTGCACTGCCACTGCGCCAGTCACCGTGAGACATAAGTTAATAAGTCCCACGTGCCTGTAATTTCACCAGCACCCTTACCCTTTTAAACTGGAGCGCAGTAAAGCTCACATTTGGTTGTCAGCTGAAATAGGTAACGTGCCAGGACCACCCTGGACGTACTCTTTCACAAGGAGATTTAGTGCTACTAAAGTTACGGTTAACAAATAAACACTTACATGAATACCAGACATACTGCACCCAAACGTAGGTGCTGGCTGCGAAGAATATGTATTGTAGCGGTATAAAGAAGAAACATATCATGTCAGACGTCAGCGCTATGCAGATGAAGAACACAGAGAATGCCTGGAACAAATAATATTCATTGCGTGTGTTGTTGTTGTTGTCTGCTATGCGTGACCACACCCCGGACACTCCATACGACAGTAGAAACTTATTTACCTACGACTACTAGGTACAGTATGGCTCTGTCTGCACACACGCAAATGTTTACGTGAAGTGGTAGGGTTGTCCATCACTTTTTTATAGTACTCGTCAAGTTTCATATTAATACATAACTACGTTGAAGGAGCTAATTGCTGTGCATTGTTGTCAATAGTGACGTGCGTTACGACATTAGAAATATTTAAAAATTAAATCTAATACGATCGTCACTTATGGGATCGCTGGCTAGAACAACTTCTACCTCTGCAAACACGCGTCAAAGCTAAATGCAAAACAAAGCAGTTTCGAATTGACAATATATTAAGTAAACATTTTTATTTTCATTTCATTGAAACTTTTTAATTAGCTTCCCCTTGCAATACTAGTTATAAATCTAAAAACCTATGCGTCTCGCATTTGATTATATTTTTTTCGATATTTAATTGAGATTTGACCTCACTATTGTAATTTGTCAAAACGGCCATCATAGCGTGCCAGTACTGTAAACTATTTTTTCTCTGTTTTAATGTGCACAGTGACTTTGTAAAAGCAAATTAATATATTGTATTTATAAATAATATGATCGTTACGTATACTAATGATTTTATTTATTAAATACTAAAACAACAGTAAATTACACCCGTTAAATTAAATTAAGTCAAATAAATACCTTCAATAAAAGACTTAACATAATAATTGAGTAACACTACTATGAATTATCCACGCTAAAATAAATTTGTTTTAAACAAATAATAATCTCTAAATAATCTGTTATAAAATTGCATTATATTGAAAATTCGATTTTTAAACATCAAAATCGCCCTTAGCGAACGGCTCGCTGAGAGCCTTGTTGCCGTTCCGTCAATGTGACTGTCAATATGAAGGGCGCGGTGCGGTATCTAAAGCTAGGGAGAAGAGCGTGATGGCAGAGCGGAACGATACTGGATAAGTAATCAATTTGTTTTGAAAATTAAACTATTAGGAAATGAAACTGTTTTCGAATCCAAATGTTTTTCACATGGTCACGGGTGACAGTCGGGTGACTGTGGGACCAACAAAAAACAAATGTACGCGATTTAGATCCGAAAACAAAGTTTCATTTCCTAAGATAATTATTGTTATTACTTCCCTGGGCGGATTCACAAAGACCCTACATCTATTTGAACTAGAACTGTATTTCAGATGACGTAAGTGGCGAACATGTAGGCAATAAATACGTTTACTTACAAGTCCCTGATATTTGAATGAGTCATAGACAGATCTGAGTATCATCCAGAACGGCCAGAGGAACTCGAAGCGGAACTCGAGCATGTAGTCGGCCATCACCACTGTTGCCCACAGCATCACGAATTTAAGGTACAGCATTGAGCTAGAACAAAAGTTACATGTGGTTTATTATCATCAACATCATTAATTTAGTCGTTAGACGTCCACTGATTCACATAGGACTTCCCCAAAAGTTCGGGCTAAAAACCAACGGTTTTTTTTACTCAGGTAGTCGGTCCAAATTGTGAAGGGTGTCTTGCTTGCGGATGGTGCCTTCCATGGTAGCCGCTTTATTACGTTAGAAATATATCAGATTTATTATTATTTCAAAGAAAAATTACAACGGAAATTAGGCAATTATGTCAATTTTCTCACGAAAATGTCGAGACAATTGACAGTTAAGCCTGTTGGATTACAAAAATCCGTGGTTTAACTCCTGCAGGTATGCACTATCTAAAATGTTTGAAATTAATATTGTAAATGATAAATGTATTGAAATATTTACAAAGAACAACCCCTAGAGTTTCTTGCTCATTCTTCTCAGGAGAATCCGCCTCACGAATGAGCGGTAGAGTTTAATTAATATGACGATTTAAAATGTAATTTGCTTACCTAAGAAATAAAGAAGATTTGAATTTTGAATTTTGTATCGTTAAGTCTTATTTTATTTCATTTTAATTTGTTACAATAAATGAAAGTAAACCTCACACTGCTGCAATACGGTCACTTCTTTTTGGAGAACTAAGTAAACATGTCCAATTCGCTGTCGTTCAGCGAATGACAACTAGATGGCCGCACATTGATTGAAATTTTAATATAAAATCAAAACGTCGTAACTTGCAATAATAGATGTTGAACTATCAAGATATGGTAAAGTTTAAATTACATTAACTGTCCAGATTTTGTTACCCCTTTTTAAATTAGAAAGTATGACCAATCATTATCAAGATTTCATAGTGCTTCAAATTACGAATATGTGTCTCGTGAACATCACTATAAGAACATTTAAAACTAAAACAAGTCTTCAATCTCTATAAATGACAGCAAAGATAATTAAATTTAGCAAACAAGATAACGAGAAATGTTAACCTGATGTTGTCATACTTACCCAAGTTAGTATGCGAGACTAAGCAAGCAAAGAAACCGTATTTATGAATATTTTTCGTCCGTTAGTGAATAGACATCAGTTGATTTGAAAACTCAAAACATTATAAAAACGCACAAGTAAAATTCTGCCCCCGGAACGAAAAAGACACAACTGCTGTATAAAGTACGCATAGTTGTGCCTTGTTTCGTTACGTAGGCAGAATTGTGTCTCTAAAAAGTTATTAAAATATGAATTATAAATATAGTTCGCAATATGTTTAATGAATGTTGTTGTTTTTTGTTATGTTTGATAAAGGCCAGTTTGCATGGTCCGATGAAAGTTTTATAAAACGATAATTTTATGTAAATAATCATAATGTACTGTTTTCATACAGGAATTTGCAACACAGGAATATTAATATAAGGTTGAATTTGTACTGTTTCACGAGAATTAGATAAACAAGTACAGTCACATAATTTGTTTGTAAGGTGTGTGGAGTTTGTTTTTAATATTGTAAATTGATAATATTGATATTGAATTAAATGTTATCGTTGACATGTTCCAAATTAATCTCTTAATGTACATACCTAATGTGTAACGCATTAGGTAAAGAACGGATATATGTATAAAGAAGGTAACATTGACACCTACTAAAGAGATTGTACAGACTAGATTCAACTGCTGCTATTTTTATTGACTTAGTTTATAGGCAAAAGTGCATTTGCTAGAATTAAGTTACAATTATTTATTTACGTATCTTGACATGCTTTCCTAAAAATGTAAGCTTTAGGGAAGTTACGGTTCTATTTTGGCTTATAAATAATAATGCAGTACTTGTATGTCATACAACTTGAATAGGGGACCGAAAGAGGTAACAGTTGTTGATGTCACAGCTTGTGCAAAACTGACACAAAATGCATGCAGATAAGATAAAAACTTACAATTTCCAACACACACGTTAAAAGATTTGATATCAGTACCAGGAAAAAACATTTTGTATTTTTTTCCCCCCGGATCAAAACCATTTACCGGTGGTTTGTAAATTATGTTTTATCTGCATATATTTCGTGATTAATTTTGTAATGGTTACATTTGCACCCGTCATGGAACAATGGCAAAAGTGGAGTTACATAAAAAATGTTTATTGTTCCATTAGATACAGAAAAATATAACCCACTTCCTCACCAACTCTTGTAACTCTATAGTACATTACTTTCTCTGGTTTTATTAAGAAGAAGAAAATTTTATTTCAAGACATGATTAGGTTTAAAGATTTATTTCTCTCTAAGAATTTCCATTCAGTTAACTTGAGAAAACATAACAAAATATGAGCACAGTTGAAATATCAAACAACAAATAGTAAGTATAAAAATTATTCTACATTAAGTGGGTAGTTGCTTATTTAAATGTGAGTTAGTTTGTTCAATCACTAACATGAATGTTGCTATACAAAATTAACAAAGATACATAGAACAGGCAAAATTAGAAGCGTCATGCAAGTAGTTTGATTAGGACGAAACATTTGGTACTTTAAATTATTATTTTATTTTTATTATGTATTTTTCAAACAAGTTGTGCACTTGGTAGTAAGCCAAATGCCTGCCCATAATAGTTGCAGTGTTACTCAGAGCTTTAAATTATAAAGATCTGAGGGCACCACCATTGCACCCATCACTCTGAGACATAAGTTGACAAGTCTCATGTGCTTGTAATTTCACCAGCACCCTTACCCTTCACAACTGGTACACAGTAAAGTGACCATTACTGCTTGGCGGTAGAAATAGATAAAGTACTTGGTACTTGCCTGGACAAGCTCCTTCACACGGAGCTCTACTAATATTTATATTACATATTTAAATTATATGTTATATTTAAATAGCTATCTTCACAGAAGAGTAGGATCTACGCAAAATAGGCGCTTTGTCATCGAGTTGCGGAAACCAGCCCGTTGCACCAAGTACCAAGTACCAATGATCTACTATTACAAAAATTATACTTAAAAGGGAGACTCCTTTCAGTATTATTATTCTCAAATCATTAACACACACCGATTACACATACATCTTAAACATTTATTTAACTACATCAATATTAAAGTTATACGTAATAAGAAATTCTACAAATTGAGCTAATCACAACAGTAAAAACAGTTTTTCTGGCAACCTGTAACACAGGCTTTTCAAACCTACCACAGATGCCAGCCATTCACAATAGTTTGATATCACAAAATGGCATTAAGTCTCATAGATTTAATTAGCAAAACAACAAATAAATAGTGTATTTTCTATATCATCATGCCAATTTACCCTGGACATCTTAGTGTTTTGAATAACATCATAGTATTGTATCACTGAGATTCAGTGGTGGATACCTGGAGACCTATAGTACCGGTCTAATCTAGTTTAGGCAAGTCTACAACCTCGCAATTTAACTGTACGATGTACCTTAGTTTAATTACACTGTGAAATGTATTAATAAGGTAGAAAAGAATAAATAATTTTGTATTGTATGGTATAGCTCATAAACTGCTTTTATGAGTGAAAAGTAAACAAATATTATTGGATAGACAGATATATACTTTAAACTAGTGGGAAGAAGTGAGAAGTAGTGTGACAATGTATAAAATTAAATAAAAAGGAATCGTCTAAACAAAATTATTGTTGTGAAAAATATTAATATTATTGTTATAAAAATAAATAAATTACCAGATGTATAAATTTCATGCAAATTACCAATATAAACATAAGCTGCCTGTTACTTTTTATTTAATTTATAACATTATAAACGGCAAAGTGAAACTAAATACATGTGTGAGACACATATGAGTACGCAAAACTAGAAATATGAACACGTGCGAACCGTGTTCCTTCTGTTTCTTTTTATACAATACCATGGGAAGTAACTTAACATTTGTACTACCCACACATTTTCAAATCGAATTATTTCCTATAAAAACAATAAGGAATATGATACTTATTGATGTTCGTATGGTTTACCCGTGGTACAAAATCGCGAATTTACCCAAAATAAACAGTTCACACTCACTTTCCGTACATTCCTTCGGTGATTTTGGTGCGTTTCACAGGGCGCCGCATTTTCCCAGTGTCGGCATTTCGCCTCTTCATATTTTTTCCTCCACCGTGTAAATCAGAAATATAGGCTTTCCGTTCACAACACTCTACAAGGAAACATTTAAAACAACAATGCTCCAAATATTGCCTTTTGTTGTCAATCGGCCTACAGAATTTACGAGGGAGATGGATGAAATATCGGCAAGCTTTTTGCGTTCACTCAAACTAATGTTACCATAAACTTTCGGAAAAGCTACCATAACGTGATTTACGGCCTCTACGAGTACGCGATCATCGTGAGAAATGTTAGAATATTGTGAACCATGCAACTTTAAATTTTAATTATATTCATTGATAATTTTTTCTCCCCTTTTTCTATACTATTTCAAATGTAATATTCGTTAATTTATTGGTAGATCAATGGTCATTAATGATCTTTGTATTTTACTTTTTGTATCACATATGTAAAAGTTCTCAGCATAATATACCTACAAAGTTCAGAAATATCCATAAATATAAGTCTGCAAGGCACCGCAATTTAAGCTATACAAATCCAGTTTCGTCAGAAATAGTTTTTTTCATGATTTCAGTTCAGGTTCGTCAGGATTGACGAATGTGGACAACCAATAACGACATTTTCGTCAAATTCCGCTTTCGTCATATGGATTTAGTACATGTATCATCATCATCAACTCAATTTATACGTTTCACTGCTGGGCACGGGTTTCCTCTTAGGCGAGGTTTAGGCCACAGTCCGCCACTCTGGCTTAATGAGAGTTGGGAACTTTATACGTTTTCCGAGGATTATGAACCTTCTTCGACGGGGTTTCATAACTATTTTTTCCTTCATCGAAAAGCTCATGATAAATTTCAAATTAAATTTTCACAAATTCCGAGGTGCGAGCCCGATTCGAGCCCACGACACCTGCTTGAGAGGAAGTAAGGCAAACCATTAGGCTATCACGGCTTTTACGAATTGTATTTAACTAAAAATAATTCAACATTCCAAACTGAAACTAAACATTCATAAAAATAAATATTTTTCTAAAATTTTTCTAAAAAAAAACAAAAATTTATCACAATATTTAATTTGTTTTAAATAAAATAATAAAATTTGTAATAATTATACTAAATATAAGTTAACTGCAATAAGAGTAAAATATTTCTTTCCGTACATCAAAAAAATAATTTCAGTCAACTGCATCGAAATCAAAGTTTTCCTGTCCTTACGCTAAAAATAAACTTGAATCAATAACAACAAAACTGAAAGTGTTCCTGTCCTTACGTTAAAAAATCATAATAATTTCCGTCCCTTTGTTTTCAAAATCGATCAGAATCGAGAACAGTGTTGCCTAACGTATACATCACTAAATGTTAAATTTGGCCAAAGAAATGTATACAAGCGGCCGTACCATGAAACTGAATGCATTATACAAAAATGTGTTCGTTCGATATTCATGGCGTATTTACAAAGGATCACAAATATGTCGCACCAAGTAAGAGCCGCAATGACAAATCATGAGACATACACTCGGTGATATATTTGTTTTCTCGAAATTCGTACAAAACCAATATAATTGTTTTTAAAATAAATTATGCAACTTCTGATTACAAAATCACTTTCCCGTTGAAGTAAACGTCTCTGTTTACCCGTTTACCCACAGTTATGGTGCTTTTGCAGTTTATAATGGCACAATTATGCATTTTTCGCGTTTTCGACTGGTGTTTATCTACGATAACGGTCGAGCGCGTTTTGAAGTACAGCAGCGGCAAGTAAGTGAATTTCACTTACTTTGGGCACGCGAAGTACGTACACTTGCGGCGTCTATCTAAATAT